CCATGCAAGTTTGGTTCAGGTAGGATTTATAATTACTTGGGAATGAAAATATAGGTCAGATCCAGCATCCGAAGCAAGTTTGGTGGTGTCCATCCCTAGATGCATCATCCATGCAAGTTTGGTGCAGGTAGGATTTATAATTACTTGGGAATGAAAATATAGGTCAGATCCAGCATCCGAAGCAAGTTTGGTGGTGTCCATCCATAGATGCATCATTCATGTAAGTTTGGTTCAGGTAGGACTTATAGTTAGTTGGGAATAAAAATATAGGTCAGATCCAGCATCCGAAGCAAGTTTGGTGGTGTCCATCCTTAGATGCATCATCCATGCAAGTTTGGTTCAGGTAGGACTTATAGTTAGTTGGTAATAAAAATATAGGTCAGATCCAGCATCCGAAGCAAGTCAGGTATTGTCCATCCCTAGATGCATCATCCATGCAAGTTTGGTTCAGGTAGGACTTATAGTTAGTTAGGAATGAAAATATAGGTCAGATCCAGCATCCGAAGCAAGTTTGGTAGTGTCCATCCCTAGATGCATCATCCATGCAAGTTTGGTTCAGTTAGGACTTATAGTTAGTTAGGAATGAAAATATAGGTCAGATTCAGCATCCGAAGCAAGTTTGGTGGTGTCCATCCCTAGATGCATCATCCATGCAAGTTTGGTTCAGGTAGGACTTATAGTTACTTGGGAATGAAAATATAGGTCAGATCCAGCATCCGAAGCAAGTTTGGTGGTGTCCATCCCTAGATGCATCATCCATGCAAGTTTGGTTCAGGTAGGATTTATAATTACTTGGGAATGAAAATATAGGTCAGATCCAGCATCCGAAGCAAGTTTGGTGGTGTCCATCCATAGATGCATCATTCATGTAAGTTTGGTTCAGGTAGGACTTATAGTTAGTTGGGAATAAAAATATAGGTCAGATCCAGCATCTGAAGCAAGTTTGGTGGTGTCCATCCTTAGATGCATCATCCATGCAAGTTTGGTTCAGGTAGGACTTATAGTTAGTTGGTAATAAAAATATAGGTCAGATCCAGCATCCGAAGCAAGTCAGGTATTGTCCATCCCTAGATGCATCATCCATGCAAGTTTGGTTCAGGTAGGACTTATAGTTAGTTAGGAATGAAAATATAGGTCAGATCCAGCATCCGAAGCAAGTTTGGTAGTGTCCATCCCTAGATGCATCATCCATGCAAGTTTGGCTCAGGTAGGACTTATAGTTACTTAGGAATGAAAATATAGGTCAGATTCAGCATCCGAAGCAAGTTTGGTGGTGTCCATCCCTAGATGCATCATCCATGCAAGTTTGGTTCAGGTAGGACTTATAATTACTTGGGAATGAAAATATAGGTCAGATCCAGCATCCGAAGCAAGTTTGGTGGTGTCCATCCCTAGATGCATCATCCATGCAAGTTTGGTTCAGGTAGGATTTATAATTACTTGGGAATGAAAATATAGGTCAGATCCAGCATCCGAAGCAAGTTTGGTGGTGTCCATCCATAGATGCATCATTCATGTAAGTTTGGTTCAGGTAGGACTTATAGTTAGTTGGGAATAAAAATATAGGTCAGATCCAGCATCTGAAGCAAGTTTGGTGGTGTCCATCCTTAGATGCATCATCCATGCAAGTTTGGTTCAGGTAGGACTTATAGTTAGTTGGTAATAAAAATATAGGTCAGATCCAGCATCCGAAGCAAGTCTGGTAATGTCCATCCAAAGATGCATCATCCATTTAAGTTTGGTTCAGGTAGGGCTTATAATTACTGAGAAATGAAAATATAGGTCAGATTCAGCATCCGAAGCAAGTCTGATATTGTCAATCCAAAGATGCATCATCCATGCAAGTTTGGTTTAGGTAGGGCTTATAGTTACTTGGGAATGAAAATATAGGTCAGATCCAGCATCCAAAGCAAGTCTGGTAGTGTCCATCCCTAGATGCATCATTCATGTAAGTTTAGTTCAGGTAGGGCTTATAGTTACTTGGGAATAAAAATATAAGTCAGATCCAGCATCTGAAGCAAGTCTGGTAGTGTCCATCCAAAGATGCATCATCCATGCAAGTTTGGTTGAGGTAGGGCTTACAGTTTCTTGGAAATGAAAATTTAGGTCAGATCCAGCATCCGAAGCAAGTCTGGTAGTGTCCATCCAAAGATGCATCATCCATGTAAGTTTGGTTCAGGTAGGGCTAATAGTTACTTAGGAATGAAAATATAGGTCAGATCCAGCATCCGAAGCAAGTCTGGTAGTGTCTATCCCTAGATGCATCATCCATGCAAGTTTGGTCCAAGTATGGCTTATAGTTTCTTAGGAATGGACATGCTTTAAAAACTTTAACCTGGTCACTCATCTGGAAAATGTAGGTCAGATCCAGCATCCGAAGCAAGTCTGGTAGTGTCCATCCCTAGATGCATCATCCATGCAAGTTTGGTCCAAGTATGGCTTATAGTTTCTTAGGAATGGACATGCTCTAAAAACTTTAACCTGGTCACTCATCTGGAAAAGGAGGTCAGATCCAGCATCCGAAGCAAGTCTGGTAGTGTCCATCCCTAGATGCATCATCCATGCAAGTTTGGTCCAAGTGGAGCTTATAATTCCTTAGGAATGGACCTGTTCCAAAAACTTTTACCTGGTCACTCGTCTTGAAAATGTCAGTCAAATCCAGCATCCGAAGCAAGTCTGGTAGTGTTCATCCCTAGATGAACCATAGCTCTCATCAATATCTATCAGCATATGAAGTTTGATGAAAATATCTTGGATAGTTTCTTTGAAACTTAGCTTTGAACAGAGCTAAACACAAAGTGTGACGGAAGGACGGAAGGACAGAAGGACAGAAGGACGGAAGGACGGAAGACGGACATGACAAACACTATATGCCCCGGCCATATTCATGGCGGGGCATAAAAATGATCAATTAAGGTACTTGAGGTACTTGTTATTCTAGTAGGAACATTAACTATCTGAGAAAGTCCAAACTCCTCTAAAGCAGATGTCCAATATTGTGGGAGATCTTTCATTAGATCAATATTAAAATCACCTGATAGAATAATTTCAGTATCGTCACAGCAGGAGGCACGGTTCACCTCCCTTGCTAGGTCCTGCGCCCAGCAGGAGGGGGCAGATGGTGGACGATAAGCAGAGCAATAAAATATAGGTTTAGAATTTTTTAGATTAATTTCTAGCCAGATTGTCTCAATATTACTGATCTCAAAATCAGTTCTACGTTTATATGTGATATCCCTTGAAATATAAATAAGAATTCCACCACCTGCCCTTAATGTACGGTCTTTTCTTTCAAAAACAAACCCATCAATAAACAGTTCTGAATTTCCTACTTGCTCACTCAAAAAAGTTTCACACAATCCTAAAATATCTAAAGATTGCCGTGTTTGAAGCAACAGTTTAATTTCATCTATTTTAGGAATAATATGACAAAAATATTTAAATTTCCGAAACGTAAACCTTTCTTAATCAATCCAAATCTTGAATCTTTTTGTATTTGTGAAGTATGAATTTGGTTATTGGTCATAGGAGCTTGATGTTTTGTTTGTGAAACAGATTTGAATGAGTTTATCGTAAGAGGAGCAATGTTAGTAGGTTGTATAATTGAGCTCTCATCATTAAGATAAGTTTTCACTTTGTCCAAGGGAGTCTTATTCTTAATATATGGTTCATTTTCAGTTTGCCCAAAAAATTATTTAATATACATCACATTGCAAATCGATCATGTACATGTAGAATGTCAACCCAGTGCACAGTGTAGATTTACTGAACACCTGCTACAGAAATACACAACATTCCTATACAGAGCTGTGTTAATATCAATGGTGTCTATATCTCACTGTCAACTTGTACAAAATGTCATCTGAAATGTCAAATGAAAATTGGTAAAATATTGTAGTCACCAAGATTGAATTTAGTTTGAATGGAATGTTAAAAGAACCATATATCAACTATGACATTGACCCCTCCACATCACTGATCTGCGATACCTGCACCCCCCACCCCACCCCAATCCACATGTATTACACCTGTAAACCCCCCTCCCACTCCACCCGTTGTACAACTGCCCACTCCCCATTTCCTGCTGAAGTTGATCTACAAACAAGACAACTGGTCTCGTACTGATTTACTCACTTTGAAATCAGTATATATGTAGTTGTCTAGTGGACAATAAACTGTCAACCCATTAGAAGACAATATCAATGAGAGTCATTGTATATGTATTTCATTAACCAAAGAGAGCTGATTAAACATTGTATGTGATGTAAGACAGAGTCTATGTCAACTCTACTATACTATATACTTACTACTATAAATACATTTTAACCTGCCCCTTATGTTTGACGTAGTGTTTAATTTAATTTGTTATTATGAGTATTATCTTCACCTTTTTAATTTATTTTTTCCATTTTTATGCAAACAAAGTGAATAATAATTTTTATAAAAATCACCAGGCTGTTTCCAAGATTATCTTATAAATCTACTATGTGTTATTGCATGCTTAATCATGTTTAATTTTTGTTTTCTGTGATATTTTTAACTGACGTGATACTCGATTCAGGAGTTCTACAGGAAACATGTTGATTGTTATGAATTGTACAAAATGTCAACTTTACATTGAATTTACTTCCTTTCAAATGCACTTAACAAAATCAGTAGTTTGTTAAACATAACAAAGTTATAACTAAACCAAGTACACATTAAAGAACTCTTAACTTATCAAATAATAAGCATGATAAGTATTTTATCCTACATGTATTTACTTTAGTTATCAAAGTAATAAATAACAGTTTATAATTTATGTATCCTCATATTAGTAATGCTTCTTGTTACTTAATGTATCAAGATATAATAGACTTAGTCATGTAATTTAATTACACTTAATACAATAAAAATGTTGATTAATGTCTTGTTAATTCATATAATACACTGATAATAATACATTGTACACACTTAACATTGTAAAACAAAACACCTAATCATATTAATGTACTACTTACCAGTCAGGGAGCGTTCCAGTCTGTAAATGTTCACTGTGTTGTTGTTGTATGATCCGATCCAGACACAGTGAGTTCTGTCATCATAACTCAGGCTGTATGGTCTGTCTATCCCGTGTTGTTCTCTCTTTATCAGTGACAGGAGTCCCCCGTCACTGTCCAGTATATGTACTGTGCGGGTGTAATGATAACACACCAGGATGTGTGACAGCGCGTCAGTACAGATTCCACGTGGCCATAGTACTGATCCTGATGTAGGACCTGTGTAGGAGAAGCGATGTCTCCCTCTGCTGTCTGTCACCACTACAGCATCACTGTACAAGTCAGACACAATAACATCTCCATTGCGGTTCTCTGTGATGTAGATAGGTTCACTATACAGTTCCTGACCTGTGTTGTTGTGCGGTATGGTCTGTATGTGTTCTCCTGTGTTGGTGTAACGGTTTACATGGCCTGTATATGTATCAGTATTCATCCCGACCAGCAGGTCTCCAGTGGAGGGGGAGCTGTAGACACTCAGTGGTCTCCATGGTGCTATATAAGGTATTACTGTGGTCTTTATTCTGTGATCTTTAGATAGTTTAATGATGTTATGGTGTCTGTCTATATAAATTAAATAACCCTCGCCAGTCACAGTATGTACTCCAGCACCATATTTATATAAATCTTTCACATGATGTAGTTTTTTACCCGCGGTGTTTGTCAGTATGAGATTGCCTTTATAATCACTGATCCAGACCCGGTCTGATGTCACGTGGGTAATGTGATGACACCAACTAACACCTGGCACTGCGATAGATTTCTGGAACACCAATCTATACATTATTGAAATCAGTCATCTATTTCATCTTCATGCTGTGACTTTATAATCCTGTGTTGATTTCCTTCTCTGTAAATGACAACACTGTATTATAATTATCTACATCAATAACAGGGGTCTGTTTATACTGTATACATTTAACAATGCCTTGGTACATCAATAAGAGGGGTCTCTTCATAATATACTCAAATATACTCATGCCTTGGTTTTATAAACTTACAAAAAAGAACATGAAGAATAGAATTAAGACCCAGATAAACATATTAAATACCTTTATACTGAGTACTCAATGCTTTGTCTCCAATAATAACAGCCTCCAAGTGTTCTCAGTCAATCCTGTCCAACAAAGAATTATTTATATATTAAAACACATAATTATAAATTGTGAATTAATGCTGGAAAACTTTTTAGATAACAAAATAAAATCACTAGATATCATGGACATTGTATTTACCTTTAGTGAGTCAATTAAATCATTTACAAAAGAATTACCATTATAAACATTGATTTTTTTTTTACAAATAATATATATTTTACAAGTTTGTGCAGCATTCAATCTTGATGTTCCTAATAAAAAGAGAATATGATACACTCTGTATTAAAGGTATTTGGACACAGATTTGAAGTTAATTTTTTCTGTATAATATCACAAATTATATATTTTTATAGCATTTCACACAACAAGAGGCCCTTGGGCCACATCACTCACTGAGCACTTAGGGTAGGAAAAAGTAGAAAATGGCTTTTTATTGTAAAGTTTAAATCCAAAAGTAATCCCATGACCAATCATGGATTTGCTATTTTTTAGAAAATGATTTTTAAAGAATTTTCCTATATATATCTTTAAAAATTTTGATCGGCCATTTTGGCCCCGCCCTACCCCCGGTGGTCATGATTTGAACAAACTTGAATCTACACTACATGAGCATGCTTCCATATAAATATGATGAATTATGGCTTTGTCATTCTCTGAAAAAAGATTTTTAAAGAATTTTCCTTATTTTTATGTAAAACTTTGGTCAGCCATTTTGGCCCCACCCTACCCCCGGGGGTCATGATTTGAACAAACTTGAATCTACACTACCTGAGCATGCTTCAATATAAATATGATGAATTATGGTTTTGTCATTCTTGAGAAGAAGATTTTCAAAGAATTTTCCTATATATTTCTATGTTAAACTTTGGTCGGCCATTTTGGCCCCGCCCTACCCCCGGGGGACATGATTTGAACAAACTTGAATCTACACTACCTGAGCATGCTTCCATATAAATATGATGAATTATGGCTTTGTCATTCTTGAGAAGAAGATTTTTAAAGAATTTTCCTATATATTTCTATGTAAAATTTTGGACGGCCATTTTGGCCCCGCCCTACCCGCTGGGGTCATGATTTGAACAAACTTGAATCTACACTACCTGAACATGCTTCCATATCAATATGATGAATTATGGCTTTGTCATTCTTGAGAAGAAGATATTTAAAGAATTTTCCTATATATTTCTATGTAAAACTTTGGTCGGCCATTTTGGCCCCGCCCTACCCGCTGGGGTCATGATTTGAACAAAGTTGAATCTACATTACCTGAGCATGCTTCCATATAAATATGATGAATTATGGCTTTGTTATTCTCTGGAAAAAGATTTTTAAAGAATGTTCCTATATATATTTCAATGTAAAACTTTGGACGGCCATTTTGGCCCCGCCCTACCCCCGGGGGTCATGATTTGAAAAAACTTGAATCTACACTACCTGAACATGCTTCCAAATAAACATGATAAATTATGGCTTTGTCATTCTTGAGAAGAAGATATTTAAAGAATTTTCCTATATATTTCTATTTAAAAACTTTGGACGGCCATTTTGGCCCCGCCCTACCCCCGGGGGTCATGATTTGAACAAACTTGAATCTACACTACCTGAGCATGCTTCCATATAGATATGATGAATTATGGTTTTGTCATTCTTGAGAAGAAGATTTTTAAAGAATTTTCCTATATATTTCTATGTTAAACTTTGGTCGGCCATTTTGGCCCCGCCCTACCCCCGGGGGACATGATTTGAACAAACTTGAATCTACACTACCTGAGCATGCTTCCATATAAATATGATGAATTATGGCTTTGTCATTCTTGAGAAGAAGATTTTTAAAGAATTTTCCTATATATTTCTATGTAAAACTTTGGACGGCCATTTTGGCCCCGCCCTACCCGCTGGGGTCATGATTTGAACAAACTTGAATCTACACTACCTGAACATGCTTCCATATCAATATGATGAATTATGGCTTTGTCATTCTTGAGAAGAAGATATTTAAAGAATTTTCCTATATATTTCTATGTTAAACTTTGGTCGGCCATTTTGGCCCCGCCTACCCCCGGGGGTCATGATTTGAACAAACTTGAATCTACATTACATGAGCATGCTTCCAAATAAATATGATGAATTATGGCTTTGTCATTCTTGAGAAGAAGATATTTAAAGAATTTTTCTACATATTTCTATGTAAAACTTTGGTTGGCCATTTTGGCCCCGCCCTACCCTCGGGGGTCATGATTTTAACAAACTTGAATCTACACTACCTGAGGATGTTTCACTATAAGTTTCATCTTTCCTGGCACAGTGGTTCTTGAGAAGAAGATTTTTTTAATATGCCACCAAATTTTCATTAATTCCCAATTATCTCCCCTTGAATGAGGGTGTGGCCCTTCGTTTGAACAAACCTGAATCCCCTTCACCCAAGGATACTTTGTGGCAAGTTTGCTTGAAATTGGCCCAGCGGTTCTTGAGAAGAAGTCAAAAATGTGAAAAGTTTACAGACAGACAGACAGACGGACGGGCGCCGGACAAAATGTGATCAGAAAAGCTCACTTGAGCTTTCAGCTCAGATGAGCTAAAAATTAATTCAAAATCTTATTTCATTCAAAAGTTATATATCAAAACTTTAAATTTTTTGGCAGGTTTGATTCTTGCACTTTCACAAATTTTAAATTTATTTTTAATCCTTAGGAAAAGTGGCAATCTTGTGTATTAATGAGAAATAAAACTTTTTTAAATCCAGAAATAAAATTTTTTTCAGAGTAGAAGTGTTAGAAAGCAAAACTCCTTCAAAAGTATCGTCATTCCGTTGTGTACAAAGTTTAGCAAATCGAGCATACTCGTTTTATGTAGTTTTTGTAAACAAGGCAAGAGCCTGTTACTGTTTGATGTTTACAATTCACCGGGTGCGTTTAATCGCCAAAGTCTGCTCACCACAACTGCTCACCACAACTGCACGGACTGACAATATATTGTGTGTTTGTTTTGCTTTCGAACATGTCTACTCCGAATTTTCTGGATTATAGTATTAATATTTTTCATTAATACACAACAAGATTGCCACTTTTCCGAAGGATTAAGAATAAAATTAAAATTTGGGAAAGTTCAAGAATGTGTCAATCAAACCCGCCAAAAAATTTAAAATTTTAATAACTTTTAAATTAAATAAGATTTTTAATTAATTTTTGTGTGAAATTCTCTTAAAATATATGTCATAACATTATAGAGAAAAAATTAACTTCAAATCTGTGTCCAAGTACCTTTAAAGCATGACGTAAAGTTTTTTTTTAACACTTATATATAAAGTAACAGAGAAATGTTTACCACATCAATTTCTGGTATCTGGTAACCACAAGTTTGTTTCTTTTCATCTTGCTTCTTTGTCCTAGTCAGTGAAAAACGAAAACAAGGGACATCAATATTTATCATTCTTACAAAAACATATTTCTACTTTCTTTCATTTAATTATGTGAAAATAAATTATATTTTCTTAAATTAAACAAGATGTGTTTGTGAAACACTGATGCCCCTGTACGGCAATTTAACATATCAAACATTAAATTTTTCTTAAATGCAAATTTAAATAATTGGTACAAAAAGTAGGGTATTCTCACTGGAAAACAATTGTGAAATTTGAAAGTAAGCCAATGTTAAAGTTTTTTTCCAAGGTCAAGGTAAAAGGTCAATGTAATTTGGTATCAAATGAAAGGTCTTGCCACAAAGAATACTTATACATGTAGAGCATGAAAACCCTAGCCCTAAAAGTTCGGACTTTATGGCAGAAGTTCAAACTCCACGGTCAAGGTTTAAGGGTCAAAGTTCTTGTTATGAAATGAAAAGTCCTGTCACAAGGATAAAATATGTAAAGTATGAAAGCACTAGCCCTAACTCCTTAAAAGTAGGTCAATCTCAAAGGTCAAGACCAAAGGCTCAAAGTTCTTGGAATCCAATGAAGGGTCTTTTCACAAAGATTACATATATGAAGTATGAAAGCCCTATACCTTAGGCCTAAAATAAAATTAAGTTTGTTTGCAGTTGCCGACCGACCCACTGAAAATGCACCCGACCCAAACTTTTCTTTTAGCCAATTATTAATTTGATTTTTTTTTTCAATTTTTTCAGAATATTGAAACAGTTTCGTTTTTAAATTTTGACATTCAGTAGTTTATAACAAGAGGTGAGCTTATTTATGTCTAGTAGGTGTATGAAAACGTCTTTTAATTGTTATCTAAAAAAATCTGATTTAAAAAAAAAAATAATAATAATGCCTACCTACCGACCCAGTCTAAAAATTATAGGTCGGCAACTGCAAACAAAGAATTTTTTAAGCTTGGCCTTACCGTTCAAAAGTCATGGCCAAGGTTAAAGTTTTTCACAAGTACAGAAATCTACAAGATCAATGTCAAAGGGTTAAGGTTGTTGGTATCCAATGAAAGGTCTTTCAACAAAGATTACATATATGAAGTATAAATGTCCTGGTATCTACTGTTCAAAAGATATGGCCAAGGTAAAAGTTTAAAATTTTCATGTAAAAGTGGGTCAAACTCCAAGGTCAAGGTCAAAAGGTCAAATTTGGTGGTACCCAAAGAAAGGTCTTGTCACAAGGAATACACATGTGAAATATGAAAGTCATGGCTCCACTAAATCAAAAGTTATGGGCAAGGTTAACGTTTTTGCAGACAAAAGGCAGACAGAGAGACAGACAGGGAGTCTGCTAGATAGACGGACGGACATGACAAAAACTATATACCCCCAAAACTTCGTTTACGGGGGCATAAAAATGTGATCAGAACAGTTCACTTGTGCTTCAAAAACTGTATTTTTAGCATGTATGAAAAGGGGAATAACTCAATTTTCTACTTGGAAAAGATAGACAATGGAGTTATTTCCCTTACCAATATGTCAATAAATTTGATCAATGCTGCAGTGTTTGACCTTATATAGCAGTGCCAGAGTGAATGAAATATAAAAACCTGCATGGTGGTGATATCGTCGTCCTCTTAACAATGGCTCAGGCACATCCTTGGGAATCTGTCAAAATAAATTCAAACCATTAACCTTTGTTTCTTATCTAGCTTGTAATGTGAGATTTGATAGGTTAGCGGCCAGGGTGTAAATTTACATACACTAACTTGAGCCAGGGTTAAATAACACAATTTTTTTCACAATGCATAGTTTTTCTATGATACACAGCAAATGCCATGCCCATGATGTCAATGCACACATTAAACCCATCTGATAGATTGAAACAGAGTTAATTTTATACTTTCTTAAGGTTTCTTAAGTTTTACAGAATATGTTGAGTGGTACATAAGAAAAAAAAAATTAAGGGTGTACGGGTATTTACTCTTTGTTTTATTCCATACACCCTGAGTTGGAGGCCTTAGACCTCTGGCTCATATTGGTGTCTCGGGCTGATACAGGATGTAAAGTGGAAAAGGGTATGTGTTTTATAATAGTTCTTCCTTCATACATATGAACAACAAAATTCTATAAAACCCTTTGCAATTTTAGTTAGGTGAGTTCGACTATTCCACTTGGCAAGCAGAGTGTTGACGCTGTTTACAGAGATTAAAGAAAACAAAGACAAGCAAGCCATATATGGTTGTGAAGATAAATAATCATAGAAGACAATAGTAACAAACAGACAAACAGTTTGCCAGTGCATTTCCTCTGAGCATGCTGAAAGTGTAGATGAGAGGATTTCTTGGGGGGGGGGGTACTCCATGGAATTTGAAGTTAGAGAGGGGCCAACCTAGCTGCAGAACTGTAGCTCTCCGAAAAATATATATGGATAGACCGGAGAGCTACAGTGCCACCCATTTAAAAAACTGTATATTTATTGCGCACAAAAAAGTGCGCTTGGGTCTGGATTAAATCTTCCAAATTCTTATCTCAAATGCAAAAAAGCTAAATTTCAAACATAGGTAATCAGAGATTACAGAGCTCACCTCAACGAATGTTGTCTTTAAGTAAGGCAAATTAAGTCACACAATTAACCAACAAAAAGTGTACATCCAAAAATGCAAAATTTTAATATGCAATTTTGATACTTTGGAATAGACCTATATAATAACTTAAAACTAGTTCTCCATCATAAAAATGTAATTAAAATCTAGCATCTGAAGCAACATTGAGAGTTTTCATTCCTTGATGCATCATTTGTGCAACTTTGGTTTATATAAGCCTTATAGTTTCTTGGTGATAGACCTGCACCCATAACTTTTACGAGGTCTATTATCTGGAAAATGTATGTCGAATTCAGCATTTGAAGCAAGTCCATTAGTGTGCATCCTAAGATGTATCATCCATGTAGTTTGTTCAATATAGAGCTCAAAATTACTTGGAAATGCAAGTTTGGTCATTATAGGGCTCAAAGTTACTTGGAAATGAATCCTGCACCATAAACTTTAACCTGTTTACTCAACCGGAAAATGTAGGTCAGATTCAGCATCCGAAGCAAGTCTGGTAGTATGCATCCTAAGATGTACCATCCAGGCAAGTTTAGTCATAATACGGTTCATAGTACCTTGGAAAGGAAACCTGCACCAAAAATTTTAACCTGTTCACTCAACCGGAAAATGTAGGTCAGATTCAGCATCCGAAGCAAGTCTTGTAATATGCATCCTAAGATGTACCATCCATGCAAGTTTGGTCATTATATGTCTAATAGTAACTTGGAAATGAAACCTGCACCAAAAACTTTAACCTGTTCACTCAACCGGAAAATGTAGGTCAGATTCAGCATCCGAAGCAAGATTGGTAGTATGCATTCTAAGATGTACCATCCATGTAAGTTTGGTCATTATATGTCTCACAGAAACTTGGAAATGAAACCTGCACCAAAAACTTTAACCTGTTCACTCAACCGGAAAATGTAGGTCAGATTCAGCATCCGAAGCAAGACTGGTAGTATGCATTCTAAGATGTACCATCCATGCAAGTTTGGTCATTATAGGGCTCATAGTATCTTCAAAATGAAACCTGCATCAAAAACTTTAACCTGTTCACTCAACTGGAAAATGTAGGTCAGTTTCAGCATCCGAAGCAAGTCTGGTAGTATGCATCCTAAGATGTACCATCCATGTAAGTTTGGTCAACATAGGGCTTATAGTTACTCGGAAATGAGACCTACACCAAAAACTGCACCAAAAATGTTAACCTGCACCAAATACATTAACCTGGTCATTCCTTTGCTGAAATTGCAGCATCTGAAACTTTGACTGGTACAATGAAACACATTAGAAACATCTTCCATGCATGTCTAATCAATATAGGACATAGAAGTACTTAAAAAGAAAACTGCTCAAAAAACTTAACCTTAACCCGGGACGCTGACGCCGACGCCGACGCCCAGGGTATCACATAAGCTCCCCCCAACTTCGTTGAGGTGAGCTAATAAAATCCTTACTCCTCTATCAATTACTTTCGTAGTTTACATCTATACGAAGTGCGTTGGATCGAATTATCTTGCAAACCAAAATGAAAGTATAAATAGGCGAAATTTTCGATGATCTCAATTTCAGGGCCAGGAGGACTATGAAAAACAATAATAAGGAATATTTTGTTGAGGAAACAGTGAAAGAATATGTTAGGAACACACAGTTAGTAATATTTTGAGCTGACGTTTTAAAAACATGGAGAAATAAATCAAGTACCGAGCGCACTTTTTTGTGCGCAATAAATATACAGTTTTGTAAATGGGTGGCACTGTAGCTCTCCGGTCTATCCATGTATATTTTTCAGGAGCTACAGTTCTGCAGCTAGGGGCCAACCTTGTGTTATCATATTACGTACGGGTTAAAAATTTCTTTCTGAAACAAGTGTGTGTGGCCCCACCCTTTCCCCAGGGGTCATGATTTGAAAACTAACTGAAGATGCTTCCATATAAATAAGACCAATCATAGCTTTGCAGTTCTTTAGAAGAAGACTTTTTCAGATTTTTGCTTTATTTACCTACTCATGCAGTATGAAAAACTTTGTTTGTTCATTGTGGCCCCACCCTACCCCTGAGGCATTATTAGAATATTAATCTCTTATATCAACACTTCCTAAAGATTTGTTCATGTAAATATCACCATGGCAAAAAAATTACATTCATTAATTTATTTTCAGTGCTTTAATATAACTAGTTCGAATCTGTTACATTCATTTTTTCCAGGCTACTTGTATAATTTTCCCCCATTATACCCTCCTCTTGAAAAGCTGTCTGGTATATAGTATGGTATGTCCGATTTTGCCAGTGCTGTACGCGAAACATCCAAATATCTATTAAGCTTTGGGGTACGAGCAAAGTCGTGGAGAAATCTGCTTTAACACATGCGTTTGAGATACTCCACTCATTTTCATTGAATAAAATTTGATGAAAACTAATCACGAATAAAAGTCTTGATATTTTTTATAACATATATGTCATGAAAATGTGCACTGTAAGATCTCTTGAAATACAAGAACAGTATCATTTTCACATTTGAGAAGGTTTTAATGTACTAGTATTTTGTATCAAATTCCATTTTTTAAAATTATTTTGTTCTTAGTATCTGCACAAAATGTCAAAAACGTAAATCAATTTAAAGATTAATTGATGAAAAGTCAAAGATTGCAAAATATTTAAATTTTTGAGGGGTACTGTACATGACCAAGTGTTTAAAAAATCTAAAATTTTCAACCAAATAATTCCTGACCAATTTATGTGAAAAAGGCTAAATATGTAGAATTTTAAATATAATAATCTACCACAGACAATTGTCTGTACTAGAATTTCATACTTAAGTTGTCTATATGTTTTTATAGACCCTTTTTTTTGGAAAAAAAAATCCAGTCTGTCAAAAATCTTGTCAAACAAATCTGTAAAATGTAAAAAAAAAAAAAATTCTAATTGGCTTTTTTGGGTAAAATTTGATAATTGATAGTGACAAGAATGTGAAAATAATTACTTTTTAAATAGCCTGAGAGGTCAGAAAAGTGAGTCAAAAATGCTGATTTTCGTTTTCAGCCGGGGGGCTTTGCCCCCTGGGCCCCCAGACCCCTCGCCGAGACTGGTTTCCTGCTATTCCATCTATTTTTCCTTCTATTGAAAATCTTATTGAAAACACTGCCGTCTGTACATCCATCTATTAAGCTTTGGGGTACCCATCTTTTATCTGCTACTCCACTCATTTCATTGAATAAAATTTGATGAAACTATCACAGAATTTTTATAACATATTGTCATTGTGCACTTCCAATCTGACTAAAATCAGATCCTTTGATCCGCTCACATAGATCACTACACAAGGATCTGAAGAAACCCCATTCAGGGTCATCTCCTGGTGACCTTTCTTATAAAAATATTCATGTAAATTAAGACCAATCAGAGAGATCGTACTTTAAAAGCGACATTCGGGAAAACGAATATAGAAGTGAAAGTAGCTGCGGAGAAGATCTTATCGTTTCTTATAAAACAAAGGGCTAAAACACAAGACAAAAGCAAGTATTACTGTACAGAAAAGACTGTGGTCCTTCTCTTGATAGGCTTCAGGAACTCGGTCACGTTTTTTCCATTCGTGTATCATCGGGCCTTTCCCCTCTGTAACTGAATTCCGAGATACTTTCCAATTCTCTAAAGTAAGTATTTGATTGGATAATTCAAAGGTCACCAGGAGATGACCCTGAATGGAGTTTCTTCAGATCCTTGTGTAGGGATCGATCTATGTGAGCGGATCAAAGGATCTGATTTTAATCAGATTGTGTGCACTTCCTATTTTTTCTTTTTGATCCGATACATTTTTCATGTGGTTTCCCATAGAAAAACATGGACACTGCCATTATATCCATACGAAGGGCAGTGGGTATCATTTAGTGAGCTCATTGCTCACATAACCTATAGTTTTTTATGGTTAACATCAAATACAGTCACAACCATGATAGTGCTGAAAAAAATTACATTGTCCACAAAAAGTAAATTTTAATGAAAGACTGATATACTATAGGAAATGAGGCTGGATTGAGGACATTGGCCTGGATAGCTCAGTGGTTAAAACACCTGAATAGAAATACAGGGGTCTCGGGTTCGATTCCCGGTCCAGCCATATCTTTACAATATATGTGTATTTATGAATTTCAATGTATGTTTGTAAACTCATTCCTCCTTTCCCTACTACAGATGGTGCCATGGCCTACCTTGTTCAGGCAATGTATAATTACTAATGTTAAAGTCCTGACAAGGTGAACTTGAGTTGTGTCTTCGAGGTCGAAGACTATTTAAGGAGGGGTGAATGTAGGAATATAGGCTGGACTGAGGACATCAGCCTGGATATATAGCTCAGTGGTTAGAGCACCTGACTAAAAATACAGGGGTCCTGGGATTGATTCCCGGTCCAGCCATATGTTTTCATTATACATGTGTATATGTATTTATGAATTTTCAATGAATGTTTACTCATTCCTCCTTTCCATACTACACTGATCTAATTAATTTGGAAAAATAAATTGTAATCAAACAATTTTCCATAAAAGACTCTCCCCCCCCCTCTCTTTTGGAATAATTTAAAATTCCCTTCACCCAGGGATGAGATCTACCAAGTTAAGTTAAATTTGGCCAATTGGTTCTAGAGATAAAGTTGAAAATGTGAAAAGTTTACAGACGGATGGACGGAGGGTGGACAACAAGTGATCAGAATAGCTCATTTGAGCTTTCAGCTCAGGTGAGCTAAAACGTTTAAAAGTATAGGTAAAATTATTATGGTCTAATCAACATTTTTTTAAAATCAAAAAAAAAAAAAGAACTGACAATGTCCAATTCATTTTATAGGCCTAATTATACTTCCTTGTCCCAAATTGTAGTCTATCATAAACAAATGAAACCGAAAGGAAAAAAAAAGATTACCAATTACTACTTTCATGTAGCCGATAAAATATTGCTTTCTACCATCTACCATGAATTTGTAGGTTTTTATACTTGATCGATTCTAGGCTAATAAGTACTCAATCTTTTCTTTTCAACCACGCCTGCTTGGTTTGAGCCCCTGAGAGTACATTTTGTATTTCGATCCCGATGTTTAGCCGGGTGTTGCTAAAACGCGGAACGGAAAACGGAAAATTTATGTCAAACAAATAACATAGATTCGATATATAAATCAGATATAAAAGCAATATTCTTGATGCAAAAGTCATACCTAATAAAATTCATTGTAAACTATTATATATATTCATGAATCATTCACACTCTCCGCTGACAACTAGTGTACAAGCCAGGCGCGTAGCCAGCATGGAGATGTGTACGCAGAAAACGGTCGGGGGTCTGGGGGCCGCCCTGAGGCCCCCGGTGGGTCCAGCGCGAAGCCATGGTGGGGACCCAGGAGGCGAAGCCCCCGGAAGCTCCTGGATTTACGCAATTTTCAGTCATTTTCTCGCAAAAGAAATCACGATAATATCACTTTTCTCGAGCAAACACTTACTGTTGAAGGGAAAGATCTATAAAATACATACTAACTAGACTCAAAGTCCTGAGTATTCATCTGAGCGTTTCAAACAATTTTTTTTTAAGAAAGTTCATTTCTAAAAGAGATATTCCTTGAAATAGGGAGAAGGAAAAAAGTACTAGTATGTACATGCATATATTTGTCATAGGCGTCGGAACCGGACCGGGAGGGAGGGAGGGGGCTCCCCTCCCCCCCCCAGCCACCCACTCCCAGTCACACACACACTTTTTTTGAGAAGGGAGCAATGGTATAGGCAATATATATTGGAGCGTACATGTAGGCTTAGCCCACCCCCACCCCCTCCCCACTTTCAACAGGTCTGAGGAACGTCGCAGATTAAGCCAAGGAAGGTTAAGTGGTAGTGTCTGGAAACAATTTGAAAGAAGTTCGACACCCCCCCCCCCTTCCCCACGAAGGAGGATTTTCGTGTTTGGGCAAAGGATATATTTTCCTTTTTTGGCTTGTCAAGTTTTTTTGTACGTTGGAATTTTTTTTCTCTTCCACTTAACCCCCCCCCCCTCTTCCGACGCCAATGTTTTTAAAGACAAATATAACTGGTTTTTGTCATTCAGATTATGCAAGCAGTAGCAAATCCAGAAATCTTGAAAGGGACAGAGACAGTTTGGGTATGGGTAGGGGACCAGAGCCACATTAAAAAATCAATTTAAATTTAAAACTTGTATATATTTTGGACACAAAAAGGGGAGCGGACCTTTTGCAACTTCTCAGACCTTTCCGATGAGATTGAAATTGAAACTCACCTCATCCCCCACACATAAACATCGCATACAAACTAACTTTAACTTCATTGAATGTAAAGATGCTTCATTAAATCTACCACAGGAAAGTTTTTGAAATTTATTTATCCAGAATTTCAATACTAGTTTATAGAAAGCGGCCACATTTATTAAATTTTAAGTTTTAATATCTTTTTAATGAATTAAGATTTTTAATTAATTTTTGTGTGAAATGCTATTAAAATATATAATTCGTGATATTATACAGAAAGAATTAACTTCAAATCTGTGTCCAAGTACCTTTAATTAATCTCTCGTAAATTATACATGTAATGTATAGTGGGGTATTTTTGTGTCCCAGCGATTATTATGTGGTTTTGACGATTTATTCCTATTGCAAACATGTTGAATAAGTGTACTAAATATAAATTGTGACAAAAATGTCCAATAAGCCCCGGGGGTTGAATATCGGGGGGGGGGGAGGGGGGGAGGAGGGTCCTGTCCACAAGTACCTGTGATGTAATTTAAAGTGCTTGCGACATCCAAATAGCGCATTTGGACGGATTATGTGAGAATAGGTGATTTACAACAGAAGCCAACCAGAAAGTTCCATATTCACTGAGTGGAACTGCAATTTACAACATACTAGTCCACCAGAACTATAGTGTGTAGATCTCAATGAGTGGTACTGTAATTTACAACATAGTCCACCAGAACTATAGTGTGTAGATCTCAATGAGTGGTACTGTAATTTACAACATTATCCATCAGAACTATAGTGTGTAGATCTCAATGAGTGGTACTGTAATTTACAACATAGTCCACCAGAACTATATAGTGTGTTGATCTCAATGAGTGGTAATGTAATTTACAACATAGTCCATCAGAACTATAGTGTGTAGATCTCAATGAGCGGTAATGTAATTTACAACATAGTCTACCAGAACTATAGTGTGTAGATCTCAATGAGTGGTAATGTAATTTACAACATAGTCCATCAGAACTATAGTGTGTAGGTCTCAGTGAGTGGTACTGTAATTTACAACATAGTAAAGAACTATAGTGTGTAGGTTTCAATGAGTGGTACCGTAATTTACAACATAGTAAAGAACTATAGTGTGTAGGTTTCAATGAGTGGTACTGTAATTTACAACATAGTAAAGAACTATAGTGTGTAGGTTTCAATGAGTGGTACCGTAATTTACAACATTGTCCACCAGAACTATAGTGTGTAGGTCTCAATGAGTGGTACTGTAATTTACAACATAGTCCACCAGAACTATAGTGTGTAGATCTCAATGAGTGGTAATGTAATTTACAACATAGTCCATCAGAACTTAATCTAATTGAAATTAGATGTTAGATCCGCTAGACATTTTCTCTAAGTTGGTGTTGATTGTTTTTTTTTTTTTTTTTTAGAGAAGGGGGGGGGATATTTTATAAGCATTTGTCAAAAGAGTAAGAGTTAGCATACTCGCTACACTAACAACATACATGTAGTCAATCAGAACTATAGTGTAGATATTAATAAGTGGTGCTGCAACTTACTAAAAGGCCTATCAGAATCTTTGAGTCTTTGAGAGCTGTTTCACTTTACAAAATTAGAAAGTCAGAACCTTAGGTTTTGCTAAGTGTTACCGTGATTTACCACAGAGGCCAATTATACTCTTCAAAAAAAGAAACGCGTAGTAGGAACAATGCCCTGAAAATTTGTTATAGTTTTGTCATACCTTTTATTTTTGTATGGATACGATGTATTCGAGTGAAATAAATGATTTTTTTTTAATGCAGTTGTTAACTTTACAGCTATTCTACAAGTCTCACAGACAAAAAAAACTGATTTTGCAAAATTTCCCCCAAAATTTTTATCTCAATTTTCATTTGTTGAATTCCGATGCAATTCCTTCAGGTACAAAGGGGCTATCAAAAGCGGGGGTTCTCAATATTTTGAATCTGGTTTTATCTGAAAAATGACGCTTCCTAAAATTGCTGCATCTGAATGTTGCGTGGCACAAAAGGGAAAATGGGCGACTGGAAGCAGGGGTACCGCAATCTACAATTGCAAGAGGTTTTAATGTTACACAAAGACCATATCCACACTGCTCAACGCGTTATCGGCAACTCGGTTGTTATCGGATACTCGGTGCAGGAAAAACAATGCATAGAAAACATAGGTAATTTTAAATTTCTTCATTCAATGATAATTGTGTACTTCTGCAAACAAATTTTGTGATCTTTGGCAGATAAATGATAATACATGTACTTTCAGCGGTAAAAAGCACGATCCAAATCACACTCTTTCAAGAGATCTACAGCTCTTTAAAATGAAATTTAATAAAACATTTCTGAATATGTCAACATATTTTAGTCTTTGTAGAGGTCAGAATCAATTTATTTTATAAAACAAAGTGATTTATTAACTATATGGACAATCATAAACCTTTAGATAAGCAGACATATATCAAAATTCAAATTATGGTTTATTTTACGGGCATTTTAAATGTTTCGTTGGGCAAAAACATGTTATCGGAAACACGGTTGAAGTTGCCGGATAATTCGGTTTTTCACGGGTGCAGGTTATCGGAAACCTAGGTTAAAATTTTTCCTTCTGTTTCAACAATAGATTAAAAAGAGACGAAATTCCATGATATTCTGCGGTAAAGGCTTTCAGTTCTTAAAAAAATAACAATTTAAATTTCAGCAAACAAAGTTTGTGATCTATGACAGATAATTGATTATACTTTCAGCAGCAGAAAGCACAAACCGAATCAAAAGATCTACAGCTCTCTCAAATAATATTATAGTTTGCAGTTACGAGTAAGTGTAAAGTTTTATGTTACGTCACTATATTTTTCGTCAGATGCATCTAGCGTAAACAATTCACCTGATTGGTCAACTCAAATTATCAACGTTGACACGGAAATAGTCTGTTGCAATCAGGGATAAGAAGAAAGTTCCAGTCGTAAAGGATGCAGTTAGGAGGCGTGTCCTATTTACCTTGAGCGCAGCTGTCGACTAGATCTTGACGTAACGTGAAACTTTACACTTAGCTGCAAACTATAATATTTTATAAAAAATTCGGATTATGTCATCACATTTTAACTTTTGTAGAATTCAAATTTAATTTATTCTATCAAACTGGTATATTTATTCTATGGACAATCAGATACCTTTAGATCAGCAAACTGAGATTAAAAATTTAAATTAAGGTTTAGAAAGCAGTCATTTAAAATGTTTCGATAGTTGAAAACATGTTATCGGCAACACGGTTGATGTACGTAGCCGGATAATTCGGTTTTTGAAGGGTGTATGTAATTGGAAACCAGGTTAAAAAGTTTTCTTTCGCTTCATAAATAGTTTGGAAAAAGTCCATTATAATCTGTCAATTCTTGAAAACAGGCAAACGTAATGGTTTAGAAGTAATTTTGAAATTTATTTTCAAGGGCTGTCCGTAAGGTTCGTAAGTTTGTTTTGACATGAATGGTTATAAATAAGATTAAGAATATAAATGATAGAACTATTCTATCTGTTTAATCATTTTTTCTTGTTTTCGATCCATTCAGTTAACCTCCTTAAACTTCAGGAGGTTTCAGACGTAAATATATATCTTTAATTTATCATAACAATTACTTTTGTATTATGATATTCTAAGTATTACATTTTTTTTTAAAAAACCAAGTTCCCCCATGATCCGCGGAATCACGTCAAAGTTACAAATAAATATAGCAATTGTGGCTTAAGTGGG